ACTTTGTTTGTAACTCTGTATTGTCTGTATTGTGCTTGTGATATGTTGTAAAATGTTGTATGTCTGTTAATGTTTCCCTCCTTTTATCCTTAAAATAAAAAAAAAAAAAAAAAATGACAACTGGTGATCATTTTCATCATTATCCACCTTAAAGTGATAATCTTTGTTGGTCTTTAGTTCACAACCAAAAAGATATTTCTAGGACCCCAGGGGGACTCATGTCTAATCTAATCTTCCATAGAATGGTGGCATACACTTAGGGGGCAGAGAATGCAGGGGGAAATGAATGACTGCTCCTCAGAAGAACATACATACAGGATGGATTCACACCAGCAGAACTCTTTCATGACCTCTGCAGTTTTACTTCTTTTTGGTAAGGTTGAAACAGAAGTGACATTTTGATGCTTGCAAATTTCCCCACTTGTCTCTGATTGTACTTTCCTTTTTTCCTTTTAAAGAGAAAAAAAAATAACAAAATAACAGCAAAGACAAAAACAAGGCAACACAAAAACAATAAAAATGATGCAGAATTTCAAAACTAGATGATAAGAAATTAACAGTGGTCGCTATATTACATATCATTGTCTTCAATGGAGTTGCCCAGATTACCAGATGTAAGAATGCAAGATTGATCAAACCATTAAAGAGAATAAAAAATAATAAAAAACACTAGAAACAATACAGAGCATCATGAGGCAAGATGGTAGGAATTCAACAATGGTTGTTGTAGTGCATACTGTTGTCTTCAAATTAGTTGTTCAGATTACCAGATATAAGCATGCAAAATTGGTCAAAAAATATAAGCATTAACTGTTCCTTTCAATAAACCAATAAAGATCAGCAGTACAACTATCCCAGCTATCCTTATGTATATATGTGCGTGTGTATGTGTGTGTGTGTGTGTGTGTATTTTTTCCCCCTTCCTTCTTTCTTTTCTACTTTCCCTCATCTCAGTTGCTCCTTCCCTTTCCCTTTGAGCAGTTTCTTTCCCTTTCCACAAAATCTATTGTATCTTTTGGGTTTTATTTACTCTTCCAGGTTGTTACATGAGGGAGACAATATAATATTTACACACTCCGGTCTGATTTATTTCACTTATGAGTATGGTCTTTAGTTGCATCCATTTACCTATAAAAGCCTTGAGTTTATTTTTCTTTATAACTGAGTAATACTCCATTGTATAAAAATACCACATCTTTTTTTACCTATTCCTCAGTTGATGGGCATTTGGATTGTTTCCAAAATTTAGCTATGACATATTGTGTTGCTATAAACATGGGTGCACATACATTGCTGTGGTATGATGTCAGTTTTTCAGGAAAAATACCCAGAAGGGGAATAGCTGGGTTAAGTGTGACCTCTAATCCTAGTTTTGTTAGGAACATCCACACTGGTTTGCACAGTGGTTTCACCAGTCTGCACTCCCACCAATAGTAGAGAAGGGTTCCTTTTCCTCCCCTTTTTCTCCAGCATTTATTATTGGTTGATTTCATGGTGATAGCCATTCTTTCTGGGGTGAGATGGAATCTCCGTGTTGTTTTAATTTGCATTGCTCAAATGACCAATGATGGTGAATATTTTTTCATATATTTATTTGGCATTTGAATCTCTTCATCTGAGAAGTGTGTGTATTTATCTCAGATGCTCATTTTTAGACCAAGTCTTTGTATTTTGGGGGCTTGATTTTTTTTAATTCTTTTTATGTTCTAGATAGGAGTCCCTTGTCTGAGGAACAGTTGGCTGAAACTTTTTGCCCAGTTCCTGGGTTTTCTTTTTACTCTGCTGATGATTTCTTTTGATGTGCAAAAACTGTTCAATAAGATAAGATACCAGTGGTTGATTCTTCGAAGTATTTCCTGTGCAGATTGGTTTTTGTTCATGAACTCTCTGCCAATTTCTATGTCTTCAAGATTTTGATCTACTTCTCTTCCAGTACATTTAGTGTTTCTGTTTCAATATTTAGATCTTTGATCCATTTTGAGTTTAGTTTAGTACATGTTAATAGACATAGTCTAGTTTTAGTCTTTGGCATGTGGAAAGCCAGTTTTTCCAGCACCATTTACTAAAGAGGTTATCTTCCTTCCAGTGAACATATTTGGCTCCTTTGTCAAAGATAAGGTGGCTGGGTGTGTTTGTGGTTGTGTCTGCATCTTTTAATCTGTTCCATTGATCTTCAGGTGTGTTTTTTTGCCAGTGCCATGCTGATTTTATCACAGTAGATAATTTCAAGTTGTAGTAGTAATTTCAAGTGTAATTTGTTGTAGTGTAATTTCAAGTCAGAGATTGTGATGTGTCCTGCCTTTCCTTTGTTACCCAGGACTGGTTTTGCTATTCTAGGCTTCCTCTGGTCCCAGATGAATTTTAGGAATGTTTTCTCTAGATCTGTGATGCATACTAATGGTATGTTAATCGGGAGTGCATTGAATCTGTACAAAAATTTTGAGAGTATGGCCGTTTTCATAATAGTGCTTCTTCCTATCCATGAACTAGGAATATCTTTCCATTTTCTGAAATCTTCTTTGATCTCTTTTTTCAGAGTACTGTAATTTTCACTATATAGATCTTTTACCTCTTTTGTTAGATTGATTCCTAAGTATTTAATTTTTTAGATGCTATTATGAAATGTGTGGTTTCCCTAATTTTTCTCTCAGTGTATTTGTTGTTTGTGTACAGGGATGCTATTGATTTTTGAGTGTTGACTTTATATTCAGCTACACAATTGAATTTGATAATTAACTCTAGGAGTCTTTTGGTGGAGTTTTTGAGGTGTTCTATGTAGAGAATCATGCCATCCTTGAAAAATGATAGTTTAACTTCTTCCTTTCCTATCCTTATTCTTTTTGTTTCTCTCTCTTGTCTAATTGCTCTGGATAATTTGTCCAGCACTATATTGAGTAGGAGTGGACATCTTTGTCATGTTCCTGATTTTAAAGTGAAAGCTTTTTATTTTTTGTCTATTTAGTATGATGTTGGCTCTTGGTTTGTCACAGATGGCTTTACCTCACAGTGAGGTAAAGACCTTTTATTTCTATTTTCTTTAAGGTTTTTTTTTTTTCATAAATGAGTGTTTGACTTTATCAAAAGCTTTTTCTGCATTTGTTGAGATGATTATGTGATTTTTGTCTTTGGCTCTGTTGATGTTGTGTACTATATTAATTGATTTGCATAAATTGGAACATCCTTGCATTCCTGGGATGAATCCTAGTTTATTGTGATATATAATCTTCTCAATGATTTGCTGCAGTCTGTTTGCTAGTATTTTATTGAGAGTTTTTGCATCTGTGTTCATTAGAAAGATTGGCCTGTAATTCTCTTTTTTGGTTGGATCTTTACCTGGTTTTAGTATCAGGATAATACTTGCCTGAATGAATGAGTTAGGGAGAATTCCTTCCCTTTCTATTTCATTAAAGAGTTTGAGAAGAATTGGCATTAAATCTTCTCTGAATTTCTTGTAGAATTCAGCTGTGAATCCATCAGGATCTGGGCATTTCTTTGTTGGTAAGTTTTTCTTTTTTATTACATTTCAGTTTTGTTGGCTAATATTGAGCTATTCATGATTTTTATATCTTCTTGATTCAGCTTTGGTAATTCATATCTATCTAGGCATCTGTTGATTTCATCTGTGTCTTCCAACCCATGAGAGTAAAGATTTTCAAAGTAGCTATTGATGGTCTTAAGAATTCCTACAGGATCTGTAGTGATTTCATCTTTCTCATTCCTTATTGCATGAATTTAAGTTTTTCTTTCTTTTTTTTTTGATAAGGTTGGCTAGGGGTTTATCAGTTTTACTTATTCTTTCAAAGAACTAAGTCTTTGATTCATTAGTTCTTTGTATTATTTTCTTAGTTTCCACTGCATTAATTTTTACTCTGATGTTTATAATTTCTTCCCTTATTTGGGCTTTGCACTTGACTCTCTTCTTTTTGTAGAAGTCTGAGGTGCAGCATAAGATTGTTTATTTGTGCTCATTCTGTTTTCCTGATGTGGGAATTCACTGCTATACATTTTCCTCTGAGAACTACTTTCATTGCGTCCCATAGGTTCCTGTTAAGTTTTATCTGCATTTTTGTTTGATTGTAAATATTTAATTTCTTTACTTTCATCTGTGACCCATCGGTTGTTCAGGAGGGTTGTTATTTAATTTCCATGTGTTTATGGAGTTTTTGTGATTTCTTTTGTTATTAATTTCCAATTTCACTGCAGTATAGTCTGATAGTATGCATGGGATAATTTCAGTTCCTTTTCATTTATTTAAGCATTTTCTATGGGCTAGTATATGGTCTATCTTACAGAACATCCCATGTGCACCTGAGAAGAATGGGTATTTTGATGTTGTTGGGTGGTACACTCTGTAAAGGTCCACTTAGCCCATTTGTCCACAAGTTTGGTTTAATTCAGTTATTTCTTTCTGATCTTTTTTTGTCTAGTTGATCTATCTCTTTGTGACAATGGTGTATGAAAGTCCCCTGTTAGGATTGTGTTACTGCTTATTTGATTTTCCACATCTATTAAAATTTGTCTTATACAGTTGGGTGTGCCTGTATTTGGTGCATGATATTTATGATTGTTATCACTTCTTCTTGTAGTTTTCCCCTAACAAGTATGGAGTGACCTTCTTTATTGCTCTTGACAGTTCCTGGTTTGAAGTTCACATCGTCTGCAAACAGAATAGCTACCTCCCTTTTTTTCTGTGTTCCTGTCCAGTGGAGTATTATTTTCCATCTTTTGACTTTTAGTCTATGAATTTCCTTTTGAGTTAAATGTGTTTCTTTTTCATAGTATATTGTTGGATTTTGCTTCTTGATCCACTCTGCCAGTCTGCTTCTTTTGATTGGTGAAATGAGACCATTTACATTAATGGCTATAAGGGCTGGGGATTTAGCTCAGCAGCACAACACCTGCCTGGCAAGTGCAAGGTCATCAGTTTGATTCCCGGTACTGGGAAAAAACCAAAAACCAAAAACAAACAAACAAACAAAAAAAACAAAAGAAAACAAAAAAACCCAACAAACCCCCCCACAACCGAAAAACATTAATGGCTATAACTGATACATATTCGTGTATCTTTACCATGCTATTTTCCTGTTGTTGGTTCCCTACTTTCCCCCTCTGTTTGTTTGCTCTTCTTGGTGGTTCTTTTGTTGTTCTTGAAATTGTGGTCATTTTTATCTCTTTCTAGAATATCTCCCAGCACTCTC